TATTAAATAACTCAACTTTTTGGTAAGTATCTTTGATATTACTTAAATTATTTAATGACTTTGGTTATTTTTCGCACTAGTATTCGACCAAGATCTTAGTTCCATCTTTAATTTTTTCATACTTAATAATTTTTAGGATAAAATCATTGCTTGCATTTGAAAGCTTTTTTGTTTCATCAAGGGATCGTATTATATCATTTGAATAATTTTATTCACATTAGATCTCCTTTTTACAAATTTCTTCACCCATATAATAATTTTAATAATATTTTATTTTTTATATAAATCACTATTAATTCTTTTTAATCCATATTAAATTTTTGATATTAACACATAAATGATTAAGCTTCTCTCATAAATCTTTTTAATTCTTCTTGTCAGATAATTTATTTTGATCATTTTATCATCCTAATATTTTTATTTATTTTAAAAGTTTTAGTACAAAAGTATAGAAGTCATAAATCTTAGATTATAATCTTTCACAATAAATCCTTCTATATTCTTAAAATTTTCTTTTTCTTTCATCTTTTTTGATTTTCCTTATCAAAATCTTAATATTAAATTTATTCTTATCAATCTCTCACAATATCTTAATATTCTCATTTGTATCTGATTATAATTACGCTAGTTAAATAGTTCAAGTGCTTTATCAAGAAACATATTCCTAACACGAAACCTAGAATTATCCTAGTATATAAGTTGAAAGTTAAATGCTTGTATTCGTAATTGATTATTTGATAATGATTTTTATAAAGAAATAAATTTGAACCCATTTGTTTAATTATTTCTCTAATTGTATTTGTCTAACAAAAATTTTGCAATACAATTAATAATAATATTAATTTTGATTACCAATTCAGATCTGAAATATTATGAACGTAACACAGACTTTTAAAAGTATTAAATTAATGGATTTGAAAAAACAGCATTCTTTAAAGTTTATATATAAACATCTCTTTTTATTAAACAAAAAAAATAATTTTTTTTTAGAAATATTGATACTGAGATGATATAAAAACTCAGTAAAAAACTTTAAGGTTACAAATGTTTAAAAAGTAATATAAAATTGGATCAAAGTGTAGAAAAGAATAGGAAAAAGAAACCCTAAATTATGAGCTTAAAAATGGAAGAGAATTAAAAAATATAAATTTGTGTTCTTGTGAATGGATTTGAATGTATTAAAATTAAATTATTGATGTGATTATTTATTGGATAGGCATATAAATTTCTATTCTATTAGTTATCCATTATTTTATTGTTATGAAACTTCTTTTTGTTTCTTTAATATATATTTACCATTAATTATATTAAAAATAATTATATAAAACAATTAATTTATTGATATACTATAATTAATCAAAAAATAAAGAAAAATTTTTAAATATTAATAAAAAAGAACTTTGAATTTGATAGAGAAATTGGAAAATAACTCAACTTTTTATTTAAAAATAGTTGGAGATGAATTTTAAAACCTCATATTTTATTTAAGTTTAATTTGATAATTTATATAATTTATTCTTTATTAAAGATAAACTCTAAAAATTTTTTATGAAATCCGAAAATTAAAAAATATTATCATTAAAATTGATAAATGATTATCTTTCTGGATATCATTTATAATAATTTAATTTTTATACTTTTGTGTTTATTAATTTAATTTCAGTTTTTTCAGGTTATAAACTTAATATGGGAGCTTGTGATTTTAATAATTAATTACGAAGATTTAAGATTTTGAATAAATGAATAATTCAAACAATAATCTGAAGAAAGAGTTTAACTTAGTTACAAACATGAAGATGTACTTCCAAAAGAATATCGGATAAATAATATAAATTAATAATGAAGAAAGCCAAGTTGAAATAATCTCAAAATCAGACCCTTTTTTCTTACCTGATTTAAAATCGATGATATTCAATTTAGTTGATTTAGAGAATGATAATCTTTATGAACTAAGTATTAATCAATCTCAATATACACTTTCATCCACAGCTTCTTCAAGTATAAAATTAAAAAATTTAGATAATATATTACCAATATAAAATTTGAACTATGAACCCTCTTCCATAGACTCAGAGTGTGAAGAATTTTGAACTTATTCTAAAGGTATAAGTAAATCAACAGATGATATAATTTTTTTATAATTAAAATTATTATGAATGTAACAGTTATAAAATGATTATCTGTCCAAAGGAAAAATAAAAAAATTTAGTGTTTAGCTTGTTATACTGGCAACATATCTGTCTGAACTATGAATCAAGGTCAAAGGTCAAACATAAGGTTATTCATATATTAAACATTTTTTTAACAAAATATTTCTAAGATTAAATCTCTTTTAGTTAAGTTAGGATTCTATTTACTCAAAAAAAAGAGCTTGATGTTATATCGTTTCTTAGTAGAGTTTTAATCAAAATTTTGTGTAATTTTTTTTTCATTTTTCTGTGTTTGATAATTAAGGATAAGAATGATTTGAATCACTAAATGAAGATGTTAAGTTTTAATTTCTATTTAAGTATGCTACTTTTATATGTGAATAAATAAATTTACTAAAAACTTCAAAACCTTGATTTTTAAGTTGCCATGTAGTTCAAAATGATTTTTTTAAAATTCTTAGTGAGTTGATTTATATAAGTATTTAACAAACTCTTAGGAAGATTCTACAACTTAGGAATATTATCTGACTTGTACATATCTATAATTTACATTATGAATTTTAACTAAAGACTACCCTACAGTCATGTAGATAAGTAATCAAAACTGAGTGATAGGTTTACATATCTTTTAAATTATTATTTCAGGGAATAGTAAATAAATATATATCTTTAAAAATTATAATTGCAAAGAAGGATATTATGATGATGATATTTAACTTGATTGTTAAAATTGCAGTGTTCGATGAAAACTATGCTTACAATCTGCAACCAATTGTTAAATTTTTTCTATAAATTTTAGAGAAAACTTGATTTTAGTAATAGAATCTCGAGAATCATATTCAAATATTGTAAAACAAATTAATATTACAATAGCATAATTTAACTTTTCAAATAGAAACATAAATAAATTACCTTATAAACAATAGATTACAATGTTGATAGAAATATTATTGAACCATTAATAA